ATTGGTGGCACACATCTTTAACCCCAGCACTCGGGAGGCAGAGGCAGGCGGATCTCTGTGAGTTCCAGGCCAGCCTGGTCTACAGAGAGAGTTCCAGGACAGGCTCCAAAACAATACAGAGAAATCCTTTCTCAAAAAAAAAAAAGTTTGCTTTATATGAAATGCCAAAGTCTTTCTAAGCAACTGCAGAGTACAAAAAGTCACCCCACCTCTGTCCAAACACCTTTGAGGACAGTGACTTCCTTTCTACCTAAGACAGTGCCATCTGTCCCCTTGCCTTCAAATGGGAATGTGACTTTGTACATTTGGTAACCTTCTGTTCAAATCTGTAACAGAACTGACAGGACAAAGTTTTTCATGTGAAAGTATTTCTGAGCCCCACAATGTCTCATCCAGAAAGGCAGGATGGCACAGTGGTAGATAGCGGGGACTAGTCCTGACTCTATGATATATGACAACTTACTTAGCACCTCTGCCCCAGACTACTCACCAGCAGAGTGGGGAAATACTGATTGCTGCAGTCGGGATAGTGAATGCCCGCCCCCAAGCTGTGGCACTATAGGGAGGTGGTGGAGCCTAGGGTGGAGCCTAGGGGAAGGAAGTCACGTCACTGAGGACCAGCCCGTGAAGAGGACATGGGATGCTGATCTCTTCCTCTCTCCCCTCCTCAGTCATGAGGAGATGAGTGACTCAGGTGTTTTGTCCCCTACCGCTACTGCTACCTTTTCTGGTTGCAAAGGTTAAATGTGTGAGGGTCGGACTAAGGCTTGCTAAACATGACTTATTATTTTTCATTCTCTCCCTCTCAAAGAACACCCCCTCAAGAAGACTAAGGAGCACCTCAGCTCACCACACCAGAGATCAGCATATTGAAGCGCACGGCCAGCTTGGGCCGATCCCCAGACCACCCTTCCCATGCAACCCATGAACTAAGAAAGGCTTTTACGTCTTTTTGTCCGTTTGTGCTTTGTTTTTCAGACAGGATCTCACGGGGGTCCATCCGGGCTCGAACTCACTATGCAGTGCAGGATGACCCTGAACTTTGTGGGCGGAAGGACCCAGTTGTACACACCTGTGCATGTCGAGGCCAAAGACTTTTTACATGCTAGCGTTTTACAGACTGAGCCAATTCCTAGCCCTGACCTTGAACTTCTGATCCCCCTGCCTCCCCGGTCTAAGTACTAAGACTGGAGACCTGTGTCACCATGGCCAGTCTGGGCGATCTCATGCATCCCAGGCAAGCCCTGTGCCCCCTGAGCCACATCACCAATCTGGTGTCACATTTTTAAGTCACTGAGGAGGGAGATCCAATGAAGAAAGATATTTTCTGACAGGAAAGGTCTGTGAAATTCAAACTTCCCATTCCGCAAGAGCTAAACTAGAGTGCAACCATGTCCCTTCATATATGTGTTATATGGGACTGCTTTTGTACCCTGTGTCAGCAGAGCTTAGTGTTCACAAGAGATTGAAGGCCCTTAAATTCCCAAAAACGCTAACCCCACCCCTTGCTACTGTTTGCTGACCCCAGCTCTTGACTCCAACATCCACCCCAGCTGGCCTCACTGCTCCCTGGGGGCCTGCTGCTGGCACCCTGCTGACTGACCGGAGGAAACTTCCCTCGGAACACACCATTTCCCCCATTTGGCATCTTCCCATCCAGTAGGAGGACTCTAACGGGCACGGGGTTCTATGTAGCATGAGCTCTTAGTGAAATAAAGAGGAAATAAGGAAAGGGAGGAGGGAGGCAAAGAGGGATCTTCAAGTATAACTTCTAAGAAACATAGTGATACAACACTCATAAATTTAGCTATTCTAAGAACGCATGCTTCAATTCTGGTCAAGTTTTTAACAACAGCACAGTTAGTTTTCCTATTTATAAAGAAAGACATAAGGATGTGTATTCATAAATAGGTAAAGTGAGCCATAACTTTTCTAAAGTGAGATTCAATAGCTATCCAAATTTAACATCTTCCCATTTGCACTGTAGGATTTGTTCAGTTCTTGTGAGAAATAAAAAAAAAAGAGTTCTATTTTAAGTTCTCAACACTAAGGCTTTGGATTTTGGGAGTGTTTTTTTTTTTAAGTTTTTTTTTCTTTTTTGAGATAGGGTCTCACTATGCAGCCCAGGCTAGATTCAAACTCCCAGCCTTACTCACCCTCCCACAAGCTGAGATTACAAATACGTGACAGCACACCTGATTCCAAAGGGTCCCTTTTACTTTTGGGGCATGGGACTTTATGCCCACTAGGCAAGTACTCCACCACCGAGTACCACATCAGCCCCAAGAGACTCCTAAGTGGACTGGCACTAGAGAAAACGCATAACACAAAGTCAATGACACCATCTTTTGATTCTACCAGTAACCTTCAGAGTGTGTCATAATGAAATCTCCTTTCAGCTAGCGACCCTAGTAGCTTGCCTCTCTTCCCGTAGATTGGTAACACGGCTTTTGCAGTGTGAAGGCTAACTAACCAGAGAACCAAGAAAGCCCTGTGCAGAAGCTCTTCCAATTGCCATGGCCATTTTGTGCCCCTGGAAGACCACACTTCCTTGTGCTTTATATTACCTTTTAAAAAGACTTGTTTTTATTTTATAAGTGCTTACCTGCATGTCTGGTGCTCTTGGAGGCCAAAGAGAGCGTTTGTCCTGGAACTGGAGTTACGACAGTTGTGAGTTGCTGTGTGGGTGCCTGGAATCAGACCCAGGTCTTTATAGCTGAGCCATCTCTCGAGTCCCAATATGTCTAACATCTTTTAAAGTAGGGCTTCCTGGAAAGACATTAAATTCCAAGGCATTTTCACTTTTATGCTACCCTGTCACCCTCATAGGAAACCAGAAGAAAATGCAGAGAGTTGTTCCAAATTCTACAACCATGAAGTAATATGACAAAGACTTGAGCTACATCTCTGGCCTCTAGTCCAAGCAACTTCCTGAATAATTTTGGTGGTTAGCAGCTCAGGTTAAAGAGGGCACTGGTTTGTTTTGTCAACTACACACACACACACACACACACACACACACACACACACACACACACACATTGCTTCCATCAGATTGGCTGGAGCCCTGTCTATACAGGGCATTGTCTTGATGTGGGAGGGTTCCGCCCATTGTGGGTGGTGCCACCCTTGGGTGGTTCTGAGTTATGGAAGACATAAGCCAGTAGCCAACATTCCTCCACTCCTGCCTCTGTCTTCTCTCAATGATGAGTCCATCACTGGTCAGAATGTATAAGCTAAATAAACCCTGTCCTCCTCCAAGATGCTTTGGTCGCTGGGCTTATCATAGCAATAGAGAGCAAACCAGACAGAGAGAGGAGGGCTTTGACTCTGCAGAATGAACCTGGTGCAAGTTTGTGATTCTCTGAGAAACTTCAGGCCATACCAGAAGCTATTTCCCTGGTTGCAGTGATGCCATGACGTGTGCAGCATGTCTGTTGTCAAGACCCTCTTCATGTTGCCTACCTACAGTGCTAAAAGGATGGGTATCCGTCATGACGAGGATGTCAAGGGAGGGTTTGATACAAGATGATTTCCAAAGGGTACCCAGCACTAGGTTGTGCTTCATTATTCAAGTTGATGGAAATGAGCCAGCGAAGACCAAGGGTACCCAGTGGGAGGGCATGGTATCCCCAGTAACGGAGACCAGGAGGAGGAAAGTAGTACAAGGATCATGAGGGCTCAGATAGAGGTCGTCTGTCATTATAGAGACTGTATCTTGCAAGATGGCATTACTAGACTAGTCATCCCGTGAGTGTGGGTTACTGAGGGAGGGCATGGGACTGAGATCAGTCCCCGCTTGGGAGTGCAGCAAAAGGCGGACAGCCATGGGATGTCTACTCGAGGGTGAGGTGAGCCAGAGGCATGGTGCAAATCCCAGAAACAGGTGGGAGACCATGCTAATACTTTAGTTTAAATATGGCATGTGTCCCCGGAAGAAGCCACATGTTAGAAGCCTGATGTCAAGTGTGGCAGTACGGAGGTGGTGGACTAGGAGTGGTGGCACAATCCCAGACTCCCAGCACACAAGGGGCTGAGACAGGAAGATCGTAAGACAGATGGTGGGTTTTGTTTGCCTTTCTAAATTTTTAACTTTTTGAGAATTTCAGACATGAGCACACCATATTTGTACCCCTTCCACCCTTCCTCTCTTCCCCCAACAGTTGCCTTTGGAGTGAGCATTCATAGTGAAACCCTCTCAGAAAAAAAAAGAGAAAGGAAGGAAGGAAGGGAAGGAGGGAAGAAAAAAGAAGGAAGGAAGACAGACAGAGAGACAGACAGACAGACCAAGACCCCAGTACTCAGGAAGCAGAAGCAGGAGAAACATTCACGGGTTCAAAAAGAACCTGGTTTACACAGTGAGTCTCAGCCCACCCAGGGCTATATAATGAAATCCTGTCTCAGATACAGAGACTGGCAAGGTGGCACCCAGGGAACACAAAGTTGTAGGCTGAGTTGTCCTCATACGGGAGAAGGAGAACCAGCTCCCTCACACTGACCTCCGACCTCCACATTCGCAAATGCTCACACACGTATACAAATAAATGTAAAAAAAAAAAAACTTAAAAGAGGTAGGACCTATTAGACGTTAGTTAGGTCCCTGGTATGAAGGTAGTTCTTCCAAGAGTGGGCTATTGGAATAGAGGTGTCACTCAGAGCTAGGTCCCCAGCACCAGAAGAAAGGAAAATAAGTTGAAAGTTTGCCAGCTCTTCTTTAGGTGGACATGGTGGCACACACTTGTAATCTCAGCACTCGGGAGGCAAAGAAAAGAAATAAAAGGGGAAAACGGGATTGTTATAAAGAGTGAGCCTAACCGTTAAGTATTTCTGGCCCCTTCTTTTACTACACTTTCTGATCCATCCTTCTCCTGATGCCATCTACCATTATGACCTCACAAAAGGACAAACTGAAGGAATTCCTGATCTTTAGTATCCAAAACTGTGGGCTAAATAAATCTTTTGTTATTCCTAACCCTGGGTGTCTTACTATACAACAGAAAATGACTGCTGTGTCTTCTAGTAACTCGGGTTCAAAGGTCAATGACCATGAAGAAGTCAGTGGATTCGGTAGGATGAAGAGACAACACTTCTCACTGAATCATGAAACATGCTCCTCGTCTGTCATCACTGCTGAGGCACATGGTCATGAGTCTAAGACATTGCCCACTGTGGAGAAGGTAAGTAAACAAACCCCGTACCTAGCTATGTAAAGGGCAGTTGAGATCTAGGACCAGTCTAACAAGCAGAGTATTGCTCCAGAGGTGGTACAGCTTGCCAGGCCTTAACCTTCAACAAGGCTTCTGATCCACAGAGCATTCAAGGTAGAGGGAACACAGAGGCAGAGGCCAAGAGGTGTGATGGTGCCACAAACCCCACAGAGGAATGAAGTCTGTTGTACTCTTGAGAAGAGAGCCAGAGAAGCAGACTAAGGGATTATGGAAAGCCACAGATGCCAAGCCAAAGCATTCCTAGTTCTTTGTAGGAAACAAGTCACTGACCATTTTTGAAAACGAGTCACCCACAGTTAAATCTGTGCTTTAAAACATGACGGAGTGTCAAAGTCAAGGTGGGGGGCAGCGGGATGCCAGGACCACAGCGGCCGAGGCACAGACAGCCAACCTAGAACAAGCAATGGTCTGAGAGAGAGGAGGGACATCAGGTGGAAGGCAGGCCGGGCAGGGGGTGACACAGGGTACATCTGAGGCTTACTGGGAGTGCATGAGTGCATGGTGATGCATGGAGACCTGAGAGTCAGGAGGTGAGGTGAAGGAAGGACAATGACAAGCTGCACAGTTGAGTATTCTTTAGTGGTTTCTTTTCTTGCTTTCTACATTTTCATTTTCATTGAGTTATTCAGATGATGTAGTAAGCCCCCAATCTGTGTAAGTATTGTCTCCCTTGCCATCTGCCTTAGTCCTTGTTCTATTGCTGTGAGGAGACATAGTCACAAACTTATGGAAGAAAATGTTTAACTGGGGGCTGGTTTGCAACTTCAGAGGATGCATCCATGATCGTCACGGTGGGGAGCATGGCGGCAGGCAGGCAGGCATGGTGCTGGAGCAGTAGCTGAGAGCTTACATCTTATCCACAAGTTGGAGGCAGAGGAGGAAGGGCTGGGTCTGTTGTGGGCTTTTGAACCCTCAAAACCCCACCCCTGGTGACATTCATCCTCCAGCAAGGCCACACCTCTTAATCCTTCCCAAAACAGTTTCACCAACTAGGGACCGATCATTCAAACAAATGAACCTGGGGCTGTTATCATTCAAACCACCCCCATCATCATTCCCAAATTTTCTCCTTAGCCTTGTATGTAGTCAAGCACCCACTTCACCATGGTGCCACCAGCACAGTCATAAAGTTATTGATCACATGAAAAAGGGGGACAAATTTTAGAATGATCCCAGTAGGATTAACCTTGGAAACTTGAGGAGAAAAAAAAACAGTGAAGTATAGTCAGGGAAAGTGGGCTACCCCACATCCTTGGATTAAGAGCCAGTCCACAAAGGAGAAAACAGGAGTAGAATTTACCATGTCAAGGATATATAAATTCGTGAAAAAAAATTGCTAGAGCCGGGCGTTGGTGGCGCACACCTTTAATCCCAGCACTCCGGAGGCAGAGGCAGGCAGATCTCTGTGAGTTTGAGGCCAGCCTGGTCTACAAGAGCTAGTTCCAGGACAGCCTCCAAAAGCCTCGGAGAAACCCTGCCTCAAAAATTAAAAAAATAAATGCCAGACAAAATTTGTCTTGTCAATGAAAACTCCAAAGAACATACATGCTCCCTTTTGAAAAGCATTTCATTAACCAGTCCAGAGAAAAGCTAGCAAAACCAGCCTCGCTGGAGCCTTTCAGGGTCTTACCTGTTCTGTGGCTCACCCTCCTCCTCCTGCTCTGGGATTTTGACGGGAGTTGACTGCTTCTTGAAATCCAGATCTCAGTTTGACATTACCCCCTCAGAAAGCCCTCCCAGATCACCGATCTAAAAGGGATGTGCAGAGGCTGCAGGGGTGACACCTTGGGAAACATCTGCTCAGCTGCAAGAGGCTCTGGGCTTAAGCCCTCAGCACGGCAAAACCATGCAACTGACTGCAAAACATCTATCCCTTTAACAACATTTTTGTTAGATTTATTCATTTTTTATTTTATGCATGTTTTGCCTACATATATGTCTATGCACCATGTGTGTGCATGTGACCATGGAGGTCAGAAGAGGGTATCAGATTCCCTGGAATTAGAGTTACAGATGGTTGTGAACCACAATGTGGTTGATGGGAATCAAGCTCCAGTCCTCTGCAAGAGCAACAAGTACTCTTAACTTCTTTTTTTTTAAGATTTATTTATTTATTTATTATGTGTACAGTGTTCTGCCTGCATGTCAGAAAAGGGCACCAGATCTCATTACAGATGGCTGTGAGCCACCATGTGGTTACTGGGAATTGAACTCAGGACCTTGGGAAAAGAAGTCAGTGCTCTTAACCTCTGAACCATCTTTCCAGACCAGTGCCCTTAAATTCTAAGCCCTCTCTCCAAGCCCCAAAGGTGGGTTTTCCTTAAAGATTTATTTTTATTGTATTTGTTTGTTTATTAGTTTTTCAATACAGGGTTTCTCTGTATTGCTTTGGAGCCTGATCTGGAACTTGCTCTGTAGGGGCTGACCTCAAACTCAGAGATCCACCTGCCTCTGCCTACTGAGTGCTGGAATTAAAGGCGTGTGCCACCACTAACACCCAGTCTTAAGGATTTACTTTCATTATTTTATGTGTATGTCTTAGGGTTTCTATTGCTGTGAAGAGACACCATGACCTTGGCAATTCTTGTAAAGGAAAACATTTAGCTGGGTGGCTTACAATTTGAGAGGATTAATTTGAGAGGATTAGTCCATTATCATCGTGGTGCAACATAGTGGCTTGCAGGCAGACATGGTGCTGGAGAAGTAGCCACGTGTCCTTCACCTTGACTTGCAGGCAACAAGAAGTGGTCTGTCTCACTTGGAGTAGCTTGAGCATATATGAGTCCTCAAAGCCCGCCTTCACAGTGACACACTTCCTCCACCACTCAACCTACTCCAACAAAACCATGCCTTCCCATTAATGTCACCTCATTTGGGCTTATGGTGTCAACACATTCAAACTACCACAGTATAAGAGGTTTTTGTTTGTTTGCTTGCTTTTTGTTTTGTCTGCATGTATGTTTGTGCACTGTATGCCTGCCTGGTGCCTGTGGGGGTCAGAGAAAGGCTGGATCCTCTGGGACTGGCTGCGTGAACTGCCGTGTAGGTGCTGGGAGCCAAGCCAGGTTTACCGCCAAGTCTCTGCACCTATCACGTTTAATTGTGGCCAATTTCATTCATTCAGCACCCTTCCACTTTGCTCTGTTCCCCCTCCCTCCTCCAACATTTACATTCAAGAGCCTTGCCCCATAGTGGGTGCTGAATTCCCACGGCAAGCGAAGAGTCAGGTACTTGGCGAACACACAACAACCCCTTAGTGAATAAAATGGAATGGTAAGAGTTATAAAAAGCAAGAATTGTGCCCCAAACGCATTCTGGAAGAAGAGGACAAACTCACAAGGTTAGAAGAGAACTGTACCTCCTTCTTTAGCTAATCCCACCCAGAATATAAATAAGAACCCTGACCACCTTCCTCTCCTTTGGGTTGTACCAGATTATTTGTTTACAGACGTTTCTTCTGTTATTCTCACTCCAGCCCTCAGAGACCTTATTCTTGTTTTCCAAGGAGTTTCCGATAGTTTCAAGAGAGTAGTTGAACCTACGCTCTCGCTTTCCTTCCCAAAGGCAAAGCTACGCAGCTTAGTGGCCCGCCTCTTTTCCTCTTGTCCCGCCCAATCACACCGCCCGGGGCAAAACTATCTGCCCAGCGCCTAGTTGGGCTTTGTAGCCATTTACTTTGTAGCAAAGTAAAGCTAAAAGCGACTACCCGGGCCAGCAAGGCAAATCAGAACACACGCACAGAGCCCACAGGCGCCCGAAGGCTGGCCAGGCTCCGCCCCATTCTGCACGCCCCGCCCCGGTGCCCTAGCAACCGGTAAACAGTGCAGGGTTCGGCGGCGTGGGTGAGCCAGATCCAGGCGCTCCGCGGCGGGCTCTCGGCGGGGTGCGGCGCGGCACCGCGCCTGGAGTGGGGTGAGCCGGGCCCTTCGTACCAACGGCTCGGTGGCTGGCTGCTTGTTGAGCTCGCCCAGCTCCCCCGAAAGCGTCTGCGCCTCCGCACACCGCGAGGGCGCTCAACTGCGGCCACGGCCGGGGCAGGCGGCAACGCGCCGGTGAGAGCCCAGCGGAGGCCCGGGGAGCGGCAGGAGCGGGCGCGTGGACCTCGACGCCCGGAGTGGGGCCTGGGGTGTGGTTGAATCTAGAGACTGGTGCTAAAATCACCTGCTCAGATAAGGAAGAAATGGCCGTGGGAATACCTATCTTGAAGTGGGAGAGGTTCGCAAGCGCTCGCCTCGACCCCGGCAGCCTTCGAGAGGAGGGCTTTCACCCAGGTCATCACCACCCGGTGCAGTCGTGGGAGGGAGCGGCCTGAGACGGACTTAGTCTGCATCTGCTGGACCGCAGCAGCAGATTGAGGCTGCGCCCTTGCTGTGAGACGAGTTTTCGTCCCTTGGGTCCCTTGGTTCTGTGCAGTTACTTCCCCTCCTACAAGATGCTTTGGCGAGTGGAAAATAGAGGGAGATCAACGAGGTTTGGAACCCCAAAACTAAGTACACGCCAACAGGGACTGTCCAGGCTGCTCTGAGTTGCAGGGTGGGATTCTTTGCTTGTAATGTAGAAAGTAAAGCTAGCCCTGGCAGGGGCCGGGGGTGTCCATACTACACCTAACCCCACCCTTCCTTTCCCCTGCTTCCGCCGTTATTCGTGTTCCTCAGCCCGCATCCTGCAATTGGTTGCCCCCTTCCCAGTCTCGTTTTTCTTCCTGGAGTGGCTATGGCTTTGCTGTCACTGTTGTCTGCAGCAGGAAGTACTGCCTGTTAAACTGCGCTCACCACCCATGGTAAAGCGGCCTCAATTTCTGGCAATTTATCATATTACCATTTCTGCTTAAGATGAGGCATTCCCTGAACTAGACCCATGTTCTTCCGGAAACTTCCTTGCAGCAGCTGCCCTACCTAGATTACTGATCTTTTTACTCCTAGAATGGAAATACCTCCTGCTCCCTCTTGCTCAGTAAGCACCCTTTGCACCTCGCTTGAGGCTTCCTGCCTGGCTTGCTGTCTTTTTAACATTGGGAGAATGTGTTTGCTAAGTCTGTGGTCTTCTCACTTCCTTCTGAAACTAGGTATGGTGTTAAGTAAACGTGCTAAGTGTATCTTCATTAAAATTTACATATTACTACAGTTTTCTTTCCAGACCCAGGAAAGTAAGCAGAATGATTTACAGAGCCCTGGAAAGGAATGGCTTCCCCTGCTTTTACATGTCCAACTTGTTAGTTTACAGACGGAAGGCCTGAGCTGCTGGTGACTTGCTTCCCAGACTTGATCGCCCTCACTGCTCTTCCCCACCCAATTGTCTGTGGACAGACACTCTGACCTCCTGTGGACAGACAGACACTCTGACCTCCTGTGGACAGACAGACACTCTGACCTCCTGTGGACAGACAGACACTCTGACCTCCTGTGGACAGACAGACACTCTGACCTCCTGTGGACAGACAGACACTCTGACCTCCTGTGGACAGACAGACACTCTGACCTCCTGTGGACAGACAGACACTCTGACCTCCTGTGGACAGACAGACACTCTGACCTCCTGTGGGCAGACAGACACTCTGACCTCCTGTGGGCAGACAGACACTCTGACCTCCTGTGGGCAGACAGACACTCTGACCTCCTGTGGGCAGACAGACACTCTGACCTCCTGTGGGCCGACAGACACTCTGACCTCCTGTGGGCCGACAGACACTCTGACCTCCTGTGGGCAGACAGACACTCTGACCTCCTGTGGGCAGACAGACACTCTGACCTCCTGTGGGCAGACAGACACTCTGACCTCCTGTGGGCAGACAGACACTCTGACCTCCTGTGGGCAGACAGACACTCTGACCTCCTGTGGGCAGACAGACACTCTGACCTCCTGTGGGCCGACAGACACTCTGACCTCCTGTGGGCAGACAGACACTCTGACCTCCTGTGGGCCGACAGACACTCTGACCTCCTGTGGGCAGACAGACACTCTGACCTCCTGTGGGCAGACAGACACTCTGACCTCCTGTGGACAGACAGACACTCTGACCTCCTGTGGACAGACAGACACTCTGACCTCCTGTGGGCAGACAGACACTCTGACCTCCTGTGGGCCGACAGACACTCTGACCTCCTGTGGGCAGACAGACACTCTGACCTCCTGTGGACAGACAGACACTCTGACCTCCTGTGGGCAGACAGACACTCTGACCTCCTGTGGGCAGACAGACACTCTGACCTCCTGTGGGCAGACAGATACTCTGACCTCCTGTGGACAGACAGACACTCTGACCTTGTTTGGTCCCTTCTTCTTAGCATAGTATCTCCAATCTCCCAGTCCTATTGGGCTGTTTGTTCCGATCACAATTCTCTGAGTTTTCAGCCTGCTCTCCAGGGCCACTCCTCAGTATTTCTTCCTGGCCTGTCATAATGCTCCTGGATCCCTTTCCCAGCGCGGTTGTTTCATCTATGCCTTTGTGATAAGGGCAGGTGTCTGTTCCCTCACTGGACCGAGCCTCATGAGGATAGCCCTCTCCTGTGTATCGAGTACCGAGACAGGAACACAGTAGGAAGTTGGGAATACTTGTTGAATGGATGAAAAGGGCGTCTTGAAATTGAGAACAACAGAAATACTTGCTTTCTGTGTGCTGTATGAATTCCTTTTCAGGTGGCTGTGACCAAATCCCTGAAGAAACACTTTAACAGTTAAACTTACCCAGTTTACACTCACAAGTTCCCGTCCCTCCTAGTGGAGAAGGCAGAGTTCCTGGCAGTGGCCTGACGGTAGCTGTTCACATGGCGGCAGGTCAGAAAGCAGAGAGAACATGATGGACTTCTGCCACCCAGCCCCAGTATCTAAAGACTCCTCAAGGCCCTTTTGGGAATGAACAATCAAGACGTGAACCTTTTAGGGACATTTGAGATTTGAACCAACACACATCAGGTTACTCATTCAGCAAATCCTGTTCATCCATTTGGTGTGCCAGATGATGGGTTAGGCTGAGGAATTTAGTGGTAGAATCACAAACAAACCCGCTAGATTACTATCAGTTACAAATACTATTAAGTAGTCACAATGCTTTTAAGGAGAAATGTCCCCCATAAACTCAGATTTGTGACTACTTGGTCCCCGGTTGGCTGCACTGTCTCTGGAGGTGGTGCAGCCTCTCTGGAGGAAGTACGTCATTGTGGGAGGGCTTTGAGATTGCATAGCCTCACCTCACTCCCAGCTGATGCTCAGCTTCCTGCCCTGGCCACCTGCTACCATGCCTCCCTCACTACTATGAATAGTCCCTCTGTCAGCCAAACATACTCTCACTCCTCCGTAAATTGGTTTTGGTCATGCTGTTTTATCACAGCAACAGAAAAGTAACTACTGTGGAGGTTTAAAAAATTACTAAGGAAAGGAGCTAGAAAAATGATACTTCAGAGGCAAAAGTTTTGTGGAGCCGGTTACAGGTAAATAGACGATGTTGGAACCAACACCTTGCCTGGGACAGACTCAGCTTATGTTCATGTGTTTGTTGATGTATATGTTGATATATATGATACAGTAAGGGGTTATATGATTGTTCTGGGTATAATGGACACTGTGTCAGGGAGGTTTTTCTTATTTGCTGGCAGTGGGAATGGAGTCCAGGCCACTACACATGCTAGGTAAGGTCTTTACTGCTGATCCAGTGTCCCTAGGAACCTGGGGAGGTTTTTGGTTTTTTTTGTTTTGTTTTGTTTTTTCTTTTTTGTTTTTCTTTTTCGAGACAGGGTTTCTCTGTGTTGCTTTGGAGGCTGTCCTGGAACTCGCTCTGTAGACCAGGCTGGCCTCGAACTCACAGAGATCCACCTGCTTCTGCCTCCCGAGTGCTGGGATTAAAGGCGTGCGCCACCACCGCCTGGCTCCTGGGGAGATTTTTGTAAAGTGATATTTGAGTAGAGTCCGAAGGAAGAGATAAAGCAAATTATTCCCCTTCAGTTATATGAAAGCCTATAGGTCCTATAGTATAGGGGAAAGCCTATAGAAAAATCAGGGCTGGGCTGGAGAGATGGCTCAGAGGTTAAGAGCACTGGCTGCTCTTTCAGAGGTCCTGAGTTCCATTCCCAGTAACCACATGGTGGCTCACAACCACCCGTAATGTGATCCGGTGCCCTCTTCTGGCCTGCAGGCAGAATACTGTCTAAATAATAAATAATAAATAAATCTTTTAAAAAAAGAAAAGAAAAATCAGAGCCTACGGAAACAGGAAGTACTTGGCACTTTTGGGAGCTAGAAAGAAAGCCAGCGTAGATGTAGCCAAGTCGTCTTCCTTATGGAGTTTGTAAGGCTTTAAATTGTGTCTGAGACCATGAGTGGATGAGTGTTTCAGTGAGCCAACAGAAGGACGGATGGTTGCTGGTGAGATGGCTCAATGGGTAAAGGTGTTAGCAGTGTGTTCTCCATATAGGATACATCAGTATTAGCTTCGGGGGGCTGCCTTTTTATTTGTGTGGGGGGGGGACTCACTACATAGACTAGGCTGGCCCCAAACTCATAAAAATCCACCTACCTCCCTCTGCCTCCTGAGTGCTGGGATTAAAGGCATGCCCACCAGGACCAGCTGGTTTGCATATTTTACTTAATCACTTTGGGATTCATCCCTGTAGCTTTTCTCATTGCCCAATAGGCAATGTTATACCACAACATGTTTATCCATTTGTTTGCATGTGTAGCTCTGACAAATTAGCTACTTTGAGAAGTGATGTGCAAGTCTCTAAAGGAAAATGCTTTCACTTCTTTAGGAGTAGAACAACTAGGTCAAATGCTAGGGGAGCGTTTAACTTAGAAACTGCCAGGCCGTCTTCCAAAGCAGTTCTGTCAGTTTCATTGTCCACCAACGGTGAATGAGAGTTCCAGTTCCTCCATTGCCTCACCGTCATTTGATATGGTCAGTCATATAACAAGCCATTCTAACTGGTGTGTGTTCATGAGCTTATTTCTCATGTCTCTTTCTCGGGAACGTGTTAATTTGAATATTGCTATTGTGGTTTGAGCATTTTTTATTGTGGAGGTAGGCCTTTGTCATGTGCTGAGTTTCAGGTTATTTTCTCCCAATCTCTGGCTTGGCTTTTATTCTCTCTTGGAAAGCAGATGTTTTGCACTTTGATTGCAACCTTAGCAACTTGTTCTTCATGATGCTGTATCTTTTTCTGTTGCTGTAATTGAATACCGTGATGAAACTGAGAAGAGAAAGGGTTTATTTTTGGCTTACGGTTCCAAAGGAGATACTCCTAATGGTTGGGAAGACTTGGCTACAGGACTGTGAAGTCTACTGGCATCCAGGAAAAAGAGAGGAGCAAGTAGGGTCCAGTTGTAAAATCCTCAAAGTCAACCCACCCCTGCCCCACCCCATCCCAAACATCTAGGGACCAAGTGTCCCAACACACAGGCCTATGGGGACAATCCACAGCCAAGCTACAGCACATGGTTTGTGCTTCTGATAGAAATCTTTGCCAACTGAAGTTCATAAAGGTCTCTAGAGGTTTTGTGATTTGAGATTTTATATTGAGGTCTATGATTAATTTGTTTGTTTGTTTGGTGTGGTTCACATACTAGTTGGGGTTCTTTGCTTTTGTGTTTCGCTAATGGACCTTCACTATTCCAGCACCATATGCTGTAGAGAGACAACCTCATAGTGATGCTTTCTTCACAGTTCCAGCACCATATGCTGTAGAGAGATGATAACCTCATAGTAATGCTTTCTTCCTCATGTACCTGTGCATCTGTTCCTGGACTCTGTATTCTGTTCCATTGATCTGTTTATCTATCTTGACACCACTAGCACACTGGTAGTCTGATACGGTAGCTTTAAAATGACCTGTGAAGTAAGGTAATATTAACCCTCCCACTTTGCCCTTCTTCAAAGTCCTTTGCATTTCTATGTTAATTTTGGAAATGTCTACAAGAGCATGAGAACTTTGACTTAATACTTAAAGCCCTTACCTTACATCCTTTACAAGTCCATCTAATTGTGGAGTCAATTTTCCAATTTTTTAAAATTACATTTATTTACTGATTTGTATGTGGATGTGCACGCAGGGCAGGGCAGGGCACACATAGGGAGGTCAGAGGATACCTTGCAAGAGTCAGTTCTCTTGAAAGACCTCGGCATCAAAGCGCCGGGCACTGAACCGAACCCTCTGCCCAAGAACCAGGGCCAGACCACTGGCTGCAAATGCAAGAGGTGATTTATTGAGTACACAGGCGCCTTGGATGCTACTGCAACACGGGTGCAGAGCATACCGGGCTTTCAGGGAGCACAATATTTATAGAGTTTCAATGGTTACATAAGCAACAGGCATTTCATTGGCTCATCTTGGGGGCAGGGGTAGTTCCCACGGACTAAGTTTTCTGGTATTACTTTATTGAAAGACCCTGGCATACTTCAGCAATTATTATCCTGGTCCCATGACTACAATGGTGATCATAGACACAACTGGGGGCAAGGGTAGTTGCCAAGGACTAGGTGTCCTGGTATTGTCATATGAAAGTTCCCAGCACGCTTCAGCAATTATTATCCGGGTCCCATGACTGCTATCACAGACATCCTGTTTTGAGGGTGAGACACCTGGTCTGGGTTTCTTTCATTAGGCAACGGCCTGGCCTTGCTTTTCTTTTCCTAGGGGGTCCTGGGTAGGGGTCTTTCACTCTCTACTTCCTTACCCTGTAAGTCCTGGAGATTGAACTCAGCTTCTCTGGCTTGGTGACGACTGCCCTTAGCTACTGAGCCATCTCGTCCACCCCAGCCTGCCAATTTCTAAAAATGTCAAGTTTAGCGGAGCATTGGGCTACACAACTCTAATCCTAGAACTCAGGAGGCAGAGGTAGATAGGGCTCTGAGTTAGAGGCCAGCCTGGTTTACATGATGAGATGCTGTCTTAAAAACAAACAAAAGTGGCCGGGCGTTGGTGGCGCACGCCTTTAATCCCAGCACTCGGGAGGCAGAGGCAGGCGGATCTCTGTGATTTCGAGACCAGCCTGGTCTACCAAGCGAATTCCAGGACAGCCTCCAAAGCCACAGAGAAACCCTGTCTCAAAAAACCAAAAAAAAAAAAAAGTTAAAAATGTCTGACTTTGACATGAATTTTAGTTCTCAACCTGTGTTATTTAGGGTTTCTGTGTCTGTGAAGAGACACCATGACCACACAACCCTTATGAAGAAAAGCGTTTAATTGGGTGGCTTACAGTTCAGAGGTTCAGTCCGCTGTCATCATGGCAGGACATGGCGGCATGCAGGCAGACATGGTGCTGGAGAAGCAGCTGAGTTACATCTTGATCCACAGATAACAGGAAGTGAACTGTCAGCCACACTGAGTTTAGCTTGAGCAAAGGAGACCCCCCCCCCCGTGACATGTTTCCTCCTACAAGGCCACTCCTACTCGAACAAAGCCACACCTACTAACAGTGACACTCCCTGTGGGGGACATTTTCTTTCAATCCACCACAGGCCGGGCGTTGTCTCAAAAAACCAAAAAAAACAAAACAAAAAAAAAAAAACAAATCCACCACAAGCCCTTCTAAAGATTAAGACCTGTGCCCACAGCCAGGCGGATCTCTGTGAGTTCGAGGCCAGCCTGGTCTACCGAGCGAGTTCCAGGACAGCCTCCAAAACTACACAGGGAAATCCTGTATCAGAAAAAAAAAAAAAACAGACCATGTACACACATACATGTACACACACACACTTTGTTGCAGTATTTCCAGGTGAGCCAAGTGCCATTGACATTCAAGAAAGTATAAAATTATAAAAGAGCTGGGTGGTGGTGGCTCACGCCTTTAATCCTAGCACTAGGAAGGCAGAGGCAGGAGGATCTCTGAACTCAAGGCCAGCTCTGATCTACAGAGCGAGTTCCAGGACAGCCAGGGCTACACAGAAACCATGTCTCAAAAAACCTCAAAATAAATAGATAAATAAATGAGCCAGCATTCAAAATCTTTTGTTTGTTGTTTATTTTCGAGACAGAGTTTCATTTTGAAGATAAGAACGATACCTGTCCGTCTTGAAGCACTGCCCTCTGGTGGTAAAGACGATGGCCGGGGTCACTGGCTGAGTTCTTGCTTCAGACAGAGTCTCTTGTCTTGTGTCCACATCTCACTTAAACCTCATGACTGCTTGGGCAGAAAGTACCTGCATGACAAATACCAAAATACATATTTGTTTCCTGTCTGTGTAACTTGTCTTAAATTTAATTTTTAGCCTGAAACCCTCCAAGAATAGTTTGGTGAAGTAAATCCCCATAGGTCCACTCCTGGGGTCAGGAAGTATCAGGAGCTTACCAGATCTGTGATTTCTGTTCTTGGTAGGGTGGAGAGAGAGCAGCAGCACTGGCAAGCAAACCCCTAGTCTTTTATTTCGTCTCTGCAGATTCTGTGTGCGTCTCCGAGACACGTGCACACCACATGCCATTGTCACACCCAACAGACAGAGTTCCCTGCTTTCCTCAAATGTCCTTTCAAAGCTCATGCAAATAAGAATGCGAGAAAGTGCCAAACAAGAAAGTGCCATGCATCACATTGGGTTTGGTTCCTCTAAATACGAACAGCTTAGTAAGCATTTGTCATGTTAGATTGAATTTGGTTCTCCTGCTCCAGGCAAGCATTTTTAAAAACTGATACGGGATATTTGTACATATTTGTGGGATGCAATACAATAATGTGATATATATAGACATCAAATCAGACTAATCAGCATTTCATTTCCTCCAGCATTAATCAACCCTGTGTTGGGAACCCTCTGACTCTTCTAGTTATTTTGAACACACAAACATATTTGTTGTGGTGGTCTGTTTTTTTTTTTTCTTTAGCTTTCATTTCCCCTTAAAGTCAATAAGAAAATGTGGAAAATTACTTCAAGGCAGGGCGTGAAGGCACATGCCTTTGATCCCCAGCCCTTGGGAGGCAGAGTCAAGCAGATTTATGTGAGTTCAAGGCCAGCCAGGTCTAGATGGCCAGACCCTGTCTCTAAGAGAAAAGAAAGAAAGAGGTAGAGAAGGAAGGAAGGAAAGAGGGAGGGAGGGAGGGAGGGAAGGGAGAGAAGAAGGAAGGAAGGAAGGAAGAGAGGAAGGAATGAAGGAAAGAGGGAGGGAGGAAAGGGAGAGAGGGAGGAAGGAAGGCAGGAAGGAAGGGAGGAAGGAAGGAAGGAGGGAGGGAGGGAAGGAAGGGAGAGAGGAAGGGAGGAAGAAAGGGAGGAAGAGAGGAAGGAAGGAAGGAAGGAAGGAAGGAAGGAAGGAAGGGAGAGAGGAAGGAAGGAGGGAAGGAAGGGAAAGAGGAAGGAAGGAGGGAGGGAGGGAGGGAGGGAGGGAGGAGAAAGAAAGAAACTCACATCAAGGTGATAGAGACTAATTTTCTTCCCTCGTTTGCACTTGTCTTTGAAAGTCAAATAAAAAGAAGAAAGGCAAAGGCCGGGTCAAGAGCTTTGGGAAGAAGCAGAAGCCGAAGAAGCCGGAACCTGACATCCTCAGCCCTGTGGCCATGCTGAACCTCTACTACATTGCCCACAATGTCGCGGACTGCCTGTATCTTCGCGGCTACACTTGGCCAGGCGCTCCCAAAGGGAAAAGGGGGAAGAGCAAGATTTAAGTGACAGAATCCAAAGCATGCCTTGGCTTCAAAGGACAGAAGGTGGGAAGACAACAGAAAGCATTTAGGACAACTTAGCGATGGCAGGCGATGTAGACTTACTGAAGACAACCAGAAACTTGGAGCCGGCGCACTTCTCTGTGGCTAACGACAGAGCAGTGCACGTTTATGGCCACAGATAAGCCGGGCCCTAGGAGGCTTCACTTTGGTTTTTCAGAGGTAATCAGGAAAACCAAACTCAAGTGGTACTTAAAAGTGACGCCGGCATGGTAGTGATTTTTGTAGTATTATAATCATAGTTGTGGACCTGAATTAAACCTTGTTCTCAGAAAGCAGCTCCAGCTTGCGCGAGCCATTTTCTTTCGTGAGAGGTTGTTTAGAGAGGGCAGGGCAGAAAGACGGGCCTACCTTATGAACGCGTCCTCTTGGGCCTTGGCTGCTGTGGTTTGGTTTTTTTGTTTTGTTTTTTGTGTTTTTCAACGCTGGGGATGAGCCTGGGGCCTCTACTCAGGAAGAGCTCTGCCATTAGGTTACCCTTAATCCATCAACCCCCCAGTTCCGCCACGCCCCCATTAGTGAGGATTAATCTACTGGTAAGACTATAGCCCTAATGATCCAGTCATCTGTGACTTAGGGCTGCACCACAGCTAACCCTCCACTACACGAATCATTGTGGAACATTCCAGGCTTAACCGTAACATTCCGCCCTTAGTCCCCAAAGACTCAAGCTCATCACACAAAAGATGTTAAAGGACATCGAGAATCCCCAAATCCTCAAAGGTTCCAGGACTGCCCAAAAATCTAGTCCAAGTCTCTGAGACTCAAGTCCTTAGCTGTGAGCCCCTAAAAATATGAAAAACAAGTTACAGATTTCCAAAGGCCTTGACATCCCAACCACGACACTTGGAAAGAGGTAGTTGCAGGTGTAGCTGGTGTCCCTGATTCATCTCTCCATACGTGCTGTCTTAGGGTTCTATTGCTGTGGAGAGACACCGTGACCACAGCGACTCTTACAGATGAAAACATTTCATCGGGTGGCTCACTTATTTAAGGGGTTCCGTCCATCATCGTCATGATGGGGAGTGTGGCAGTGTGCAGGCAGACGCGGTGCTGAGACAGGGAACAGGACAGCAGGTAACAGGAAGTCAACTTGAGACACTGGGCCCTATCCTGAGCATAGGAAACCACAATCCCCGCCCCCAAGTAACTCACTTCCTCCAACTAGGCCAGACCCACTCCCACAAAGTCAACCTCCTAATAGTGCCACTACCTATGAGATTGTGGGGGTCAGTTACGTTCAGACTTGACCCTACCTATGAGATTGTGGGGGTCAGTTACGTTCAGACTTGACCCTGCTCTGCCTTCCTGGCCCTCATTGCTTCCCCCAGCCCACCACGCTGATACCTGCAGAGTTTTGCTCCATTCACCGTCCTGTGTTCAAAGCCGGTTCACTCCAGGCAAGCTCCATATATATATTCCACTTTGAGTTACTGCCTTGAGGGGTGACAGAAGTTTATGAAGTTTGCCAAAGGAGGATGCAGCCAGGACAGATGTCAGAGGAAAACTTGAGTGCACACGACCCTTGTGAGTTGGTAGTGAATGCAGTCCGTCTACCTGAGCAAATGCACCGCCAGGCCGAGGCCAGCTGCCAATGGACTGTCTTTTCCCCGGGCTCCCGAAACTAGGACTATCTTCCAGGTGCTGGAGACTGCGGCATTCTCTCTAGCGGACTTGCCAAAGCACAGCCTGCCGGGTCCTTACGCAGGGGGAAGCACGCACCGAGGAACGTGCGACTTGCACGGGCTCCCAGGCTAATGCTGCCTAACCACCTTGGCGCTAAAACGTGTGTGGAGTCTTTGAACTTGTAGGATGTTTATGTCCCTCGGTGCCTTCCTCGGGTACAGGAGTTTGTGATAGAGCAGCTGTGTGTTCTGGGACACTGGGGAGATGGAGCTTGCTGACCTCCCACCCAATGTTACCTACAGCATGGATAGCATTGTTTCAGAGACCTAGAAAATCACCTGGAGGTGAGATGGGACAGGAACATTGACTGCAGTAGACTTCCTGCTGAAACGGATGGCCCATGATGCACAAGAGACGAGAAACTGCCGTTCTCAGGTGTCTCCAGAAGGTTGTAAGTGGTACAGCTACTGCAAACACAGTTTGACACGGGCTGGTAAGGTGGACCGGAAGGCACCTGTACCAACTCTGACAACCTGAGTTCCAGAGACCCAAAGGGCAGGAGAGATGAGACACCCAATTGTGTCCCCTCCCACGCTGGCACCTGCATGCTCACGCATACACTGTAAACAAATATCTAAAAAGAAAACAGTTGGACAGTCTCTGGATATTATTGTAAGTAGAATTATTGTATGGCCAACAGTTTTACTGCCTATATGTGCACCACAAGCAACTACTCCAGGCATGCGTTCTTTTCAGAATAAAAAGACCCGGAAGACAAATCTTTGTTACAAAGGAATGACCCGCAGATGAGCCGCATTGGAGTAGGGGAGGGAACTAAGTGGACCACAGATGCTCAGTGTCCTGCAAAATCTCTGTGCTCTAGACCTTCCTGAGCCACCAAGAAAAGTGTCCGGAGCCATGGGGACACCACAGGAAGCATGACACCCTTCACCTGTAGCTCTAGAGGATCCACCTGCAACAACGGTCCTGACCTGTGTTTAGACCATCCAAGCAACCTAGAACTCAGCACTTTCACTACAGTTCAAAGACAAAGTGCGTTTCTGATTTCTTGACCAAAAAAGGAAGTGATGGTGGAGGTTTTGCCCTCTGCCTCTTGAGGCTTCGTCGAGAAGGCCCTCATCAGATCCCAGGGCTTGGATTTTCACTTCTTAGCCTGTAAGAAATAAGCTTCTGTTGTTTATAATTTCCCAGATTCTGGTATTGTGGTAGCAACACTGGGAAGTAAGCTACCACATAACCCAAGACCTTTTTCAGATATATGACTAAAGGGATTGAAATCGTGGAGTCATAAATGTGCCCATGCTCATGGAACCACTGTCCACACAGTCAAAAGGGAAGAAATCACCCGTGTCTATTATAAGGACATATTTTTGTTAGCATGAGGACATCACCCCTGTCTTGTAAATGAACAATCAAAAGGTGGTGGAATATTTGTTCTTAAAAATGAACACAATTCTGAGAGTAGAGTAGAGCGTGGATGAGCTTTAAACACGTATGGCAAAGATACAAAAAGACAAATATTATTTATAGAGCCACTAACAAGATCACAGGGAAATTCACAGAACGAGGGGCTGAGGTGACAACAGAATGGGAGCTACTTATTTTGGGATGGCGAAAAGTTCAGAAGATGGGGGCTGCTACTGTCTCAATGTGTGCGCCCCTAATGTACTGGGCGGCACAGCTAAAACAGTAAGCTTTACGTTATAAACATCTACCAGAATAAAGTAAATCAAGTATCTTCCTTCCCTTTCTTTCTTTCCTTCTTCATCTTCCTCTTCTTTTTTTCTTTTTTCTTTTCTACTTTTTTTTCCGAGACAGGGTTTCTGTGTATTGTTTTGGAGGCTGTCCTGGAACTCGCTCTGTAGACCAGGCTGGCCTCGAACTCACAGAGATCCACCTGCCTCTGCCTCCCAAGTGCTGGGATTAAAGGCGTGTGCTGCCAACTCTTCTTTTGTCCTAAAATGATCTCTAGCCTGATAGAGCGAACAACAGACGCAAAGGAAATGTCCCACGGGCCTCCTCTGTCACTGGCTAGTAGTTGGGCACACCCAGTGAAGGGGATACCCTTAGAAAGAGGAACTCTAGAGATGGCTCAGTGAATACAAGAGCTTGCTATGTGAGTGTGACAACCGGGTCCCATCGTACACCAAGACCGAACTTCCGGAAGGTGTGCTCGGTCCCTCAGCACGTGTTCTGGTACACATGTGCACAGCTTACCCCCCGCCGCCACCAAGCCTTACCCCCTGCCGCTGTCCTCTGCCACCTCCCCCTTCCCCTCCCACAGCTGGAAGTTCCTCTCCAGCCTCACTTGCTCTTTGCCGCTGAAAGGCTTGACTCCACGTCTGTATTTGGTACCCGCTAACTGGCGCCTTGGATCTGCTACCTTGTGGACAGCCCCTCCGCATTGTCTAACTTACTGCTCCCAACCCTGCTAGCATAGAAAAAGCACTAATGAGAAATGAGGGCTCGAATAGCAGAGTCAACACATGCTTCTAAGTCAAAGACAGTCCATCCCTTGGCCTTGGAAGTTGGATTGCCATCACCCCTGATCCCGTCTCTCTGAGTCCTTCATCCTTAGTCCTTGAGAGAGGCTGGGAATGTGCCGCTATCTTTTGTGCTTTTCAGTGGGACGGCTGAGCTCCACGCACACCGTCCACAGCAGCCTCCCAGAGCAGTAACGGCAGCCAGGGCTGCAGTGCGGCCAGGCTCTCTGTGCACGAATGCCACCTAATGCCACTTAGGACGGAGAAGACGTTTGGAAGTAGCAATGTTGCCTGTGAGAGAGAGGAGGGGGCCGGCTGTGGGAGGAGTTACTGGAAACAGCAGTGGCAGAGCCCGACTCTGCTCTCAGTGACAGATTAGCTGCCCTCCTCTTTTGGTTTCTGCCTCTGGTGAAAAGGAAGCAGGCTGTGCACCGTCTTTCCCTCAGACGTTTACACGGAAAAGTCGCTTGACAAACTGGAGTCATCCTGAAAGAGGGAGCCTCGGCTGAGGAACCGTCTCCATCACATTGGCCTGTGGGCTTGTCTGTGGAGCATTGTCTGATTAACGATGGATGTGGGGGCCCCAGCCTACCATGGGCTGTGCTGCCACCGGCAAGTGGGCCTGGGCTGTATAAGAATTCAAGCTGAGAAACCATGAGGAGCAAACCAGGCAGCAGCCTCTCTCTGTGGCCCCTGCTTCTGTCTCGGCCTCCAGGCTCCTCTGCCTCCACCATCCTCAAGGACGGGCTGTAAGCTGTAAGCCACATAAATCCTTTCTTCCCCTAAGATGGTTTTGGTCAGGCTTTTATCACAGGGACAGAAAGCAAGCTAGGGCAAAGGTCATCTTCAGCTACACAATGAGCGGGAGAGTCAGCTTGGGTTACAGGAGAACTTCTCTCAAAACAACAGCACGTTGTACTAACGTTATCCTACAGTCCTAAGATAAATTAGCAAGGAAGAAAAGTAGTAACGTGTATCCTCTCACGATCACACAGTCATCTGTTTAGAGACATGGTCTCACTACAGAGCCCCAGCTGTCCTGGCACTGACTACATAGACCACGCTGGTGTCACAATCCGAGGGATCTATTGTCTCTGCCTCCCAAGTGCTGGGATTGAAGGTATGTGCCGTCACACCTGGAAAAAATC